AGCCTCAACTAACAGTAAACTGGAGAAAAACTTTTATATACATGAACGTCTGGTAGAGCATCCTAAAGTTGTGAGGCACATCGGAAGTTTCCTTATGGTGCCTGTAAACACCATTAAATGTCAAGAGAGATCTCGAATCACTTTGACAAACAAGAATGTGCCACTGAACCATTAGGGAAGAGCACTGTGATTGAGAGACACGCAAGTTAGGATGGAGAGTTGGTCAGGGCTGTGACCAACCAGAAAGTCCAACCTGGTGGGATGCACAAAGTGTTCCAGGTACTTTTTCCTAAATCATTTTTAGACACAATTTAAAAAATGTTATCTATCATTTGGTCTCTTGATTTCAAAGTGGTACTGTTACCCAAAAGCAGTATGGTTGCTCAAAAGATATTGGACAAGTGAATAAACTATTTCCTTTGGTCTTCTTAATGTTTTAGAAATTATATATCTTGTTTTTCATCTTAAATGTGATTTCTTTTGGTTTTCCTAGTACATTATTAATATTTTCCATGCATTTAAGAAGATTTCTATTTTTCCCTCATTATCTCTTCATTAATAAAATCTTGGCATTTTGATCTATATTATTAGTCTTTTTTTTCCTGCTAAGAAATCTCTTTTTGATATTTGTCTTTAGTTTATAACTAGATATTTAATTATTTAGATACCTCATTTTAATTGGTTTCCATGTTCACTGCCTATTCTTTTATGCCAACTTTCCTGTTTTGAGCTGCTAATAATTTTTCTTCTGTCTCTTTGTCTTAATTTTTTTTAAAGATTTATTTATTTATGCATACAAGAACTGGGGCACAAGCCAGAGGTGCAGGGGGAGGGGGGTAAGAGGATCCACCAGAGACAGAATGGGGAACAGAACAGGCATACTGATTGAAATACATTGCTGAGGGCCTCCTCGGTGGCGCAGTGGTTGAGCACTGGGTTGCGAAGCTGACCACAGCCTCTGCAGCGCAGGTTCCATCCCCGGATGCTCCCGGCCACCGGAGGAGGGTCCCACATGGCGCGCAGACCTCTCCTGCCGCCCGCTGCTCCCCTCAGCAGTGTACTTCGGTCCTTCTGTCTGCTCTGCTCCCCGCTCTGGCTCTGGTGAATTCTGTCACTCTCCCGTGCTTCTGACTATACCCAGTGCTTGCATAAATAAATAAATAAACAAATCTTTAAAAAAAAAAATACATTGCTGAGGGGAGCAGCGGGTGAGACAGGAGAGGTCTGCTGCGCCATGTGGGTAGCTCCCGGGCTGGGGCTAGAACTTGTGTTGCAGTGGCTGGGATAGCTTCATAGGTTGCGTCTTAACCCTTAGGCCACCAGGGAGGCCCTAAAATAATATTTTTTAAAGAAGAATACAAAGGTGATATCTTTCTAGAGACCTTGTAGTTGGTCACCTTGCATGAACAACCATTTGAGTAAGTACTGGATTCCTGGGTTATAATCTTTGAATAATTAGCTCCTGAATAGCTCAGAGTTGAATTGGATAAAGTAGCATTTTAAACAATAGCATTTCAAAGGACACTGTTATTTACTTGTTCTAAAATGTAGATTTGAAAAAGAGCAGGTTAATTTTTTAGCTTTTCATTCATTTTTTAAAAAGATTTATTTTATTTATTTATACATACAAGAACTGGGGTCTAGGCAAGAGGTGTTGGTGGTAGAGGGGAGGTGCAGTGAGAGGATTCCACAGTGACAGAGTGGGGAGCAGAACAGGTGGATCTACTGAAATACACTGTTGAGGGGAGCGGCTGGCGAGATGGGAGAGGTCTGCTGTACCATGTGAGTTAGCTCCCTGGACAGGGATCTAACTCATGCTGCAGTGGCTGCCAATAGCTTGACAATGCTGAGACTTTAACCCCTACACCACCAGGGAGGCCCCTTTTTAGTTTTATAATGTGGAGCAACTTCTTTATTGCTTATCCTGAGATAACTGCTTCATCCTCCCCTTACAAGATCAGATACAACAGGAAAAAAAAAGAGAGAATTTTGCAGTCAATGAAGGGTACAGAGGCATATCATTCTTCTACCTTTTATTGAGCAGTTACAGCATTAGCCCATAAACACTATTCTAAAAAAAAGAAGTCATGATCCTTGAGACATCTGAGAAACTTACTATCTTGTTAGAGACACATGAAGGCCATAAAAATAACTGGGGAGCCAATTACAAGGCAGCATATAATCTAATACTAACATATAAGGCATGTCTGTAAGGGGTAACACATATATTACTTGCCATAAGTAAAAACTTATTTTAATTATCTATATACATATAAATAACCACACTTCATATATGTAGGAACTGTGAAATTATTTAATCCTGCATTTTGTGTGTGCCAATCTCTATTTAAGATATTAGTCATTTATGGGTGATTAAAATTAACACACTCAAGGAGAACTACACTAGTGAGGAAGAGACTCATTTATCAGAGATGTAAAGTAAAACTGGGCAGCAGAGATTCCTGGAAGACTGTATCTTGATGATATTTCAAAGTATTCCCAGAGTAGATGTATAGTTGAACAGAGAAGATGTAAAATCTCAGGTTGAAGGTAAATTGCTACTGTATTATTCTTACATACTTTATCAGCACAGAAGTATTGTTGCCTAATACTGCATCTTGCATATATGACATTCAGAATCATTGCTTGGCTTGATTTTAATTCAATCTCAAACTTTTTATGATTATTAACAGTTGGGGAATTTCTGCCATGCTAGTCTTCAGAGAATGGAACACAGAGATACAGAATTAGTAAACTAAACTAACATCGATGAATCTATTGATAGGTTTTGTGATGATTAATTTTATATGTCAACTTGCCTGGGCTACAGGGTGCCTATATATTTGATGAAACATTCTGAGTGTGTTTGTGAGGTTGTGTCTGGATTAGGTTATCATTCAAATGTATAGACTAATTAAAGTAGGGTAATTAAAGCAGATTTCTCCAATGTAGGTAGGCCTCATCCTATCAACAGAACAACAGACAGTGTCTTCCAGCTAGTACTCTGTCTTCTCCTGCCTTCAGATACAGTTTTGGATTGGAACTTAGGCTATTGGCTCTTCTCTTTCTCAAGCCTGTGGACTTGGAATTAAATCAATTGCTCTCCTATGTCTCCAGTTTGCTGAACTGGAAATCTTGGAACCTGTATCAGCCTCCATAATCACACGAATCAGTTCCTTATAATCTATTTGTATGTCTCTCTGTCTCATCATCAGTTTGTCTATCATCTACCCATCATTTGTCTCTCTAATCTGTTAAGATTTTAAAACACCATTTCAGTGTTGGTTATTTCCAGTACTGATTGTCCACAGCATGTCCTACAAATAGACACAAAATGTCCCCACTGGAACCACTTATAGGTAAGGTAATTGTTTATATGTTACTTTAGAACATTTTTCTCAAACCATTGAGTATAATGAGATTGGCTGGTTGCTATTGTCCCCGAATAAGGTGGGGAAAGAAAACAATGAATTTCAGGGATTCCAGTTTGGTAAAGATCTGGGTCAGGTCTTGAGTTGTGGACAATAATAATCGCATAACCTAGCATCTAAAGGGGTATTTATAGCAGACCTGGTGTATCAACAGACCTGGTGAGTAAATAGTGGGAATCAACAGACCTGGTGAGTAAATAGTGGGAATTGTTCCAATAATGGGAAAAACAAAGACACAGCATTTCAAGGTAGGCACAAGTCTTTTATCTTTGAAAATCTCATAACACCTGGGTTTGGTACTTTTTTTTACTGGTGTGTGCTTAATAAAGATTGGTTAAATTGGGCCACTTTCTTGATGATGAGGCATTTATATTCCTTTCCAGGCTTCTCATTATCAATAAAATTGTCTAATATCTGACAACTAAATGTTAAGAGTACAATGTTCTGGTGAACTAATAAATAAGGTAAGTTTATATCAATTTATCTTACCCCAGGTTAAATTCTTGAGGTGTCATTTTTGGAGTCTGTGGGTTTGGAGTTGCAGGGCCCTTGAGTTCATTTCAGCGGCACACGGCAAGTTTCCCAGGAGAGTTTCTCCATGAGGCAGAGACGTTAGTTATAGTTAAAGAGCAGGTTTATTAGGGAAAGGGACAGAAGAGTAAAAGACAGTTGCATGGACACAAGTGGGCAGAAAGAGCTGCCAGGTAAGGGACAGGTTTGCTGAGAGAGACCTGCATGTGTGCAGGCAGGGCCTTGAGGAGAGCTGCCTCCGCTGAGGGATGTCAGTGAAGAGAGGCCCTGGCATGGTGCACAGGGCGTGCAGGAAGGCTGCTGCCCTGTGGAAGGAGAGAGCTGGTGAAAGAAGCACCAGCGTAGGCACAGGTGGACAGAAAGACTATTGCCCCGTTGTGGGGGAAGGATTAGGTTTTATCATCTTCAAGGAGGGGCTCATCTTTGTGGGGGGATGGTTTGTGCCCCTGACACTCCCTATAGCAGTCTGGTAGTTTCTGGGTGTTGTGCCTCCTGATCTGGACACTGATGCCTAAGGGTCTTGGTTTCTATAACTGGGTTAATGGTTTACACTAATTCCCCTCTACCCCTACCTCCTTGTGTGTTAGGTTCTTGACCTTATATCTCCTTTCCAGTTTTTCTATTCTTATTCTCATTACTTGGGTGTAAGTGTTTTTCATTTTATAGCTGCTTGACAACTAGTGAGAAAGTCAGGACACATAAATTCTAAGTTGATGTTCATTTTAGATATGTGCATGGCATCTCTTTGCCTCAGTCACTTTTTTTACTCTTCAATTAAGTATAATAATCATGCTAACCAAATTATCAGTCTATATGAAAAAATATTTTAATAAAAACATCCCTCCACCAATGGACCCCTTTGGTGATGAATAGAAAGTTGGCATTATGAGGTGGTAATAATAATCTCCATAATCTCCAGCTCAGTAGGAGGGAGAGAACCGCAACAGAAAGTTCTGAGATTCCTTAACCTCACCTGGGAACAATTACAATTATAATCATAACAACAATAACAATAGCAAAATACCCAATAGTACTTACCATTTATATCACACCAGATCCAGAAATTCTATGCAGAAGGAGGGTTACAATCCAGTTGGAAGAAGGATTATCTTAAGGTTGCATACATATTAATACTTTGCCTAAGATTGAGAAAAATGAGTATTATTTAAATCAAAGAACGGAGACAGAGCAGGTGAGAGGAGGAGCGGTCATGGCCATGTTAAACTTCCTCACACCCTCTCTTCTCTCCCTGCAAGCTCCTTGATACTGGCTGAAAAATGGTGCTTTGGCTTTTCAGAACTCTAATTTATTCATATTGTTATAGGGCAACTCCAATACAAAACGGGGTGCCTGACTGTGGGTCCTCACCCGCGCGCTTAAAAGGACTTATCAATGCTCTACTGCAGGCACACGCGAAAGGTTAATAAAAGGTTTATTTACAAGGGAAGGGCAAATGAGGAAATGTACAGCTCAGGGAGAAATATGGGAGACAAAGTTTTAAATGCGTCCTACCCGAACCGCCGAGCTGGAATCCCAAATGGCACTCTGAGAGCTGGCCGTGAGCCAGGAGCCGTGAAGCCAGGAGGGGAGCGACAGAGCCAGAGACCCCAAGGCCCACGTGTTTGGTTTTTACACCCAACCTGGCTGCTTAACTCCACCCTCAGGTCCCAGCCACCTTCCCTTTGGTGGTGATGGGATTTGTCTTTCCCAATGTCCTGATGGCTTTAGACTGGAGTGGGGGTGGGGTCCACAAAGCCTGTATGGGATTAGCTCAGGACAGCCTTTCCTCCTAACAACATCAGTATACCTATTGCAGACATAATCTCTGCCTGGTTTTTGCTCAAAGGAAAAGTTTTTTGTTCTGCAATTTCTGTTTCATGTCATTCTCTCACAGGATGATGCTGACCTATCTGAGACTAAAACGCTAAAGAAAGGCCTCCAAGGAAGTTAATGAAATTCTTTGGTGGGGTGTACTTCCCATTCCATATGAAATTGCCTAGTATCAAGTAATAAATTGTCGCGCAACCAACCCACACCGGGTAGGTTCATTACCGTTTCTAGCAGCCCTGTTGGTGTCTTCAGGCTCACCGCTTCTCGTCGTCGCCTTATTCCACCGCACTCCGCCGTCCTCCGCGCCGCGTCGCGCCGCGCCACGCCACGCACGCCACGCCACGCCACGCACGCACGCCACGCCGTTTGGCCGAGTGCGCGTGCGCAGTGTGGGGGGAAGCCTGAAGCTTTTCCCCTTACTTACCCCACACGGATGCTTGAGTGGGTAAATCTTAGTGATCTATATAAAAATTCAAAGTCTGAGTATTACATATTGATATTTGGGGCAGGATGAGGTTAGTGATTTGGTCAGGATCTTCTGTTTTCCTTGCCTCAACCATTAGCGTTACAAGGCAAACCCAAAGTGAAATGGGGTGGCCTGAGTGTGGGGCCTCACCTGCGTGCTTAAAAGGGACTTATGATGAGGGCCTCCCCGGTGGCGGCGCAGCGGTTGAGCGCTGGGTTGCGAAGCTGCCCGAAGCCTCTGCAGCACCAGTTTGATCGCTGGCTGCTCCCTGGCCAGTGGAGGAGGGTCCCACATGGCGCGCAGACCTCTCCTGCCGCCCGCTGCTCCCCTCAGCAGTGTGCTTCGGTCCTTCTGCCTGCTCTGCTCCCCGCTCTGGCTCTGGTGAATTCTCTCACCCTCCCGCGCTTCTGACTGTACCCAGTGCTTGTATAAATAAATAAATAAAAATAAATCTTTAAAAAAAAATAAGGCTCTATCCTATTTAAAAAAAAGGGACTTACGATGAGACTCAAGTGCAGGCACACTCAAGAAATGTTAATAAAGGGTTTATTTACAAAAAGAGGAAATGAAGAAAGGAATAACCCAGGGAGAAAGAGAGATATATTGGAGAATGCATCCTACCAGTTCCACTGAACTGGGACCCTGATATTATGCTGAAGGTTGGCGAAAAACCCAAGGTTCCCAAGGCCCACCTGTCTGGTTAGATACCAAGCCTGGCTGTTTAACTCTACCTTCAGTTCCCAGCAATCCTCTTTTCAGTGGTGATGACATTATGGGATTTGCAGTCCTTGGTGTCTTGGATCTCTTCGGTCTGGGATGGGGGTGGGGTCCATAAAAATCTGTGAAGTTTGTTCAGGACACCCTTTCCCCCCAACATTAGGTCAATGAAGGTCTTATTCTAGAGACTTCTGTTAAATAAACAGTTCCAAAATGGCGTCATTCATGCCACCAAAACTTAATACCTAATTACAGCAATAGCCTCTCCCCAAAGTGGAATCCTAAGCTAATCTCTTCTGAGTCTCCTTGTTTGCACTAGTGAGGTCATCTGCAGGATACTATTTCTCTGCCTTCTCCCGAAATAATCTTTCTTTTCTTTTGCTAATAACCTTACTCCTCCCTTGTTTTGGTTATGAAAGCCTTCCATTTTGTGCACCCCTTGCTGATTTTTCCTCCTTGGTAGAGAGGATGCTGCCTAGTCACAAATCATTTCATAAAGTCAATTAAACCTTTAAATTTATTCTGATGCATTTTTTTTAACACACCTGTAGGGGCAGGAATGGGCACAGAGTAGGATCTTTATGACCAGAGCTGACCGGGTAAGGGAGGAGTGAGTCCTGGAGCCCTCAGTGGCTTTTGTAGGCTTTTTTTGGGATTTACCAGATACACAGCAGGCAGGGGTGCCTGCCAGCCTCCCAGCCCCCTGCAAGTCTTCACTCTGTCTGGGCTCTCTGGCATTCTTTTGTGGTTCTGCTTCTGCTTCTCTGCTTCTGCTTCTCTGCTTCTGCTGGCCTCCCCATGACGCTGTCCTTAAAAACCCATTCTTAGCCCAGGTGAATCCATCTACATATGCCCACACCCTACGCCATCAGGCATGCACTCAGGACCACAGGGTTCCTTCATCTATCCTAATGGAGGGAGGGCGGAAAAGCCTGATACTTTTACCTTACCCTACACACCTTAACTGGTTTTGAACACTCCTTGTCACCTTTCCTAAAGTAAATTATCTACTACTCTGTATGAGTTATTGAGAGCTTTCATGGCTTTAATTAAATATTCATAAAAGACAGCATTTTCAACTCAAGTTGCATGCTAGTTTGTTTTATTAAGCATTGGCAAAGGTTCTACTGTTTGGTGATTAGAAGTGGATTAGCAATTTGAATTTCTTCCTTCAGGGCAATTGGTCACATTTCTTTAGCTGCATCTTGGAATCATGCCTTGGGCCACATCTCCAAATTGCTAGATCCAGTTTAAAATTCCAGATTGAGCTTTACATATTCAATGTGTATACTTGCTTTTGGATTCTTGAGCTTTGCCTGGGGGCACCCTCTCTAATTAATCATCCTATAGGTTTGAAAATTTCTACCTAATCCTTTCTTACTTATCAAAAAAAAAAAAAAAAAAAAAACCAGAAAAAAAACTCAGAAAACGTTTTAGTCTGAAAAGTCCTTATTTAATAAGTGTCAGGTCACATAGATTTTAAGATTTAAATACATTTTCTTTTTCAATGCAATGACTCTTCCACACTAGAAAGATGGATGTTTGCGTATACCCACCAGTCACCAACATTGGCAGACAGAAGGCTTGATACAGTAAAGGAAGGAATGGCTATTTAATAGTCCTTTTCTTTTCCATTCAGATCACATACACTTTTACTGAAAGAGGCCTCACAGCACGAAGTCTGATATTACAGCAGTGTTTTCAGGAAGCAATAATTGAATACTCCTCATTAAACTGGTTCATAAAAGAATGCTATTAAAACCAATACAAATAATAAACCTTGAAAATGCTGCTTTAAATTCCAAGAAGGTTGTGAAGATATGTTACAGTAACAGTTTTCTGTTCATAGGGTGATTCTGAAAATCTTGTGGGTTGAATTTTTCTAAGTAAAGCAGGTATCTCACTACTGAATATATTCAATCAGATCCTATGCCTTTTATAGTCAGTCTTCTATAAGAATTTATTTCTAATCCTGACAGGATACCCAACAGAAAGAGCAATTATCTTTAATCACTTAATTAATAGGTAATTCTTACAAAGAGGCTAAACACCTGAACCCACTAAGACTTCTTTGCATGGGCAAATCCAGTTGGTTCAATGTGCTAATTTCACTAAATGAGAATTCAGCTAAACTGTATGTTGTTGCAAATAATAGCAAATGTACCCAATTTGAAAATAATAGTGAAGAAGTTATTTTTTTGTTCCCTTTTTAATCACAGAGGCAGCTGTGGAAGGCCCCAAATGCACGGGGCGTATGGCTCACCTCACTATCCCAGATGGTGCTGCTGGCCCAGCCTCCCCATGTCCACCCTGGCGGCCTTCAGGCCTCCCCTTGGCCCTCCTTCTCCTCAGTGGTCCAGCTGCACTGCTGCTTTGTGCTGGCCTTTCCCCACAGTCTCCTCTCATTGTTTGTAATCTCTCAGTGTTTTTTCTTCTCAGAGTTTTCCAAAATTCTCTTTTACTCAGGTCCGAGATCTGTTATGATATGGCTTCTGAAGGAGATCAAAATTCGCATGGATAGGCATCTGCATCATTATAAAATGTTACTAATGTGTTTCTCAGTTGTGGCTCTCAGAGGACTGAGATAATCTATCTTCCAGGTATGGATATTTCTATATTTTAGTCCAAAGGTGTCTTAGTTTTTCTGATCTGAAAAGTGTAAAGGACCCCTTAGCTAAGTAGTTCTTGTTTTACTTTTTATCTTCTGAGGCATGTAGTGATTGTTGTTGTCTTCAACCTAAGTCATTTAGGAAAAAAAGAAAAACAAACCTGGACCGTTGGTAGCATTTCTTCTTGCTCATTTCAGTGAATGCATTTCTTACAAGTTTCCAGGTGATGCTGATGATGCTGGTCCTGAGACAGAACTCAAAACCACTAGAGATAAGAGAAAATAAAGGGGTTAAGGGTTCTACTTTGAGAGTTAATTATAATTCCCATTTCACCCTTTCCAGTTGGGTAGTCACTCAGTTGACAAAACTCCCTAGAGTTCAGTTTCTTCACTGTTAAAATGAATTTAACAAAACATCCTTTCCAAGGTTGTTAAAAGAAAAAAATGAGATAGTTTATTAAGCATTTGAAAGAAAGTGATTGTGATGGCTTTCTTTCTGTTATTACTTTTTATTTCTTCCCTACAACTCAATTTTCAGGAGTTCTAATTGAATCATAAAGGATCCTTTAAGCATCCAATTTGGTTAAGGAAAGTGTGTCTATTTAGAAAGTAAAAAAATAAAATCTCTTTGAAAGGCTCTTGATAAAATAATGCTTCCAATATTCATCTGGACATGCACAATTATAGACAAGAGAATTTTGAAGGGAGGTTCTTCTTTTGATTGGGGTCTTACATCCCCAGCTACCAAAACATATTATAATGTCACAGTAATCAAAACAGTATGGTATTGACTAGGGAAAAAGGCAAATAAATGAAAAGCATCTGTTACCAACCACCAAGTTAGTTCATATCCCTGATGCCCAGTTAGAACAAATACTGCCAAGGAGTGTTTGAGGCTGGGAAACAATTTATTAATCAGAAGATGACACCATCTGAGGTGATAGGATCCTAAGTTCAAATCTGCCACCGATAATAAAGAGGTTTCTAGATCTTTATAGGTGTGGGTATGTGCAGGGATTGGAGAAAGGGATTTAACTATTTTAAGAAAGAGCAAAAATCAGCAAGGGGTTTAAGGAAGCAGGCATCTTGGCACACGATCATTATCTAAGTGACTCCAGAGTCCTTCTATCCTGTTGATGACTGCAACACAGGATTCTGCATTATCATCTCACCATCTGGCTTCTTTGTGAAAGAAACAGAGAGGTATGTATGAGATAAAATTTTATTTTTTGTGGGGTTAGAGAGCTCTGCTCCTTGATTCATATCCATGTCTATATCAAATAGAGTAAAATATTTTATGTATCACACAAATACACAGTTTCAAGTTAATGAGAAATAATTCCTGGGTGATTTTTGAAAAGTCAAAAAGTATCAAATTTCCATTCAATGTGTGATACCATGCGATATTTTCATAATCTTGGGGAATGAAAAGAAATAAAGATAAAAATGTTATATTTGACTTGACATAAATTTGAACCTTTTGTTTGAAAAGGTGGTTTTTTTTAT